TGCTATTTTAGCATTCCTCTTTTCCACTTGCATTTTGCCTCTGCCCCTCCACTTGATTCACTCACTCATTCATTCATATGGCATACATTTATCTGAGCTCTTGAAATGGTGGGGTGGGAAGGCACTGTACTAGACTCCAAAAAAGCAGCTACGGATCAGAGAACAACTATGGCTGCTTGGGGAAGAGAACCAACAAACCAGATATACACACAATATAGATACATAAAGGACCCTAAATAACTCCTTGCATTCTAGCTGACCATTAAAATTAAAGCTATATGTCAACAGCAGAAGAAATGACAGAAAGTATACACACTCATGGGAGCTGTATATATGACTACGCCCCCTTTCCCTACCCTTGAAATTTTGGGATAATAGTCATCGTCTTTGGGTTGGTTTTAGTTATTTGGGATTGGGTGATGCTTACACTCAGGATTATCTTTTAGACAGGGATAGCGAATGGTTGGTAAAGGTATGGTTTAGATGGGATATAGGTAGATTAGATTAGCCTATTTTCTTGAGAATTTGAGTAAGAATGAGATAGTATTTTACAGCTTACATTGTTGTGTATTCTTATGTGGTAAGCTATGTAAAATTAAGTTTATATTTTGTTATATTGTATTAAATATTTCCACTTACAATGTTTTATGCACATTATTTTTTACCATATTCTATGTATGTATACTTTTCTTGTATTCAAGACATTTTGTATATTGATACAATTTGGGATATTTATCTTGCTGCCCTTTATAGTTCTACCTCTTGTCTTGACACTTATACTCTACCTCTATTTTAGGGATTTACATGTATGTATATGTAAATAGTTATATTGTTTAAGTATTTGTTCCTGCTTTACTCAGGAAAGTTTTAATCAGTCTTTTTAGCTAAGTTCCCGAGTATTACAGATTATCTTCACTCACATTTCCTGTACCTATGAGATTAGTCAGATATAGATGCTTAATCTTCAATCACTTCATAGACATACAGAACATGGCATTTAAATGTTTTAATATTAGTACTCCATTGACATGAGACACTGTTGCTCCTGACAGCACCGTGCACTTTCCCGAAAATATGTTGGACACTGTTGTTGCTCCTGCTGGAGTTCAATCTCGCCTCAGCTAATGGCCTGTTGGGCATAGAATTGCCCCCACCTTGACCACTGATTTGGACATGCAGTCCTATGTGCTTACAGGAGACAAATATAGAAGACTGCTTGACCTTGCCAAGTCAGAGTAAGACAGCCATTCTATTTCCCTGCTGTTGTTATGGTCTCTCAAGTTCTCTTGGCCTTAGCCAAATCTGGGTGTACCAACATCGCTGTGAGACCTAGGGTGACTGTTCAGGTGGCTTGCTGTTTCTGTCCTTGCTGTACCTTTTAGAAGTTGTCCATCCGCATTTCCTGTCTACTCTAATATTGTTAATTTCCTTCTCAGGTCTTGATGAGGTTGAAGATTAAACTATCACAACTATTATTCTCTCTTCCTAGTTAGATATATTAGGTACTAGACTTACGTTTTCCAGCTTAAGACAACTCTATTGTAAACTCCATTATGCCCTCACCCTAGGACTAGATATGTAGGTCATTTTGTTCTCGATTTTCCTTTTCTTAGAGCACACTTGTTATTCACTGTTTTGTATATAGTTTTGTATTAAGCCTAAATCTTTTCTTTAGACTAAAAGGGGAATTGTAGTGAGATAGTCCTTCTGTGGCACTGACCACGCCCATTGGGGGGTGGAGCCTTGGGCGGAAGTGACCTGTGGAAGGAGGTTGGAGGGGGCCAGGAAAGGCGCTCTTTCTTTCTCGCATGACTCGGACAGGAGAGGATCGGGTTGAATTTCCTGGTGTTCATCTGTCTAGGTTGTAAGTTATTTCTCCCTGAATAAACATCTGTTCGGCCTATTTGTTTATCCTGATCCTTATTTACCGCGATACACTACAGAATGAAAATTGGCTCAATTTTAATTTCAGAAATGAAGGAAATTTTAAAATTTTTTAGAATTGAATTGAATAAAATGAAAACACAACATACTCAAACCTATGGGACACAATGAAGGCGGTCCTAAGAGACAAGTTCATAGTGCTAAGTGCCTACATAAAAAAACAAAAAACTGGAGGTATCTCATATTAGTAAGTTAATGACACATCTGAAAACTCTAAAAAAAAAAAAAAAAGAAAGAAAGAAAAGAAAAGAAAAAGAAAAAAATAAATTGCCAACAGTGATGGCACACACCTTTAATACCAGCACTTAAGAGGCAAAGGCAGGTGGATCTCTGAGTTTGAAGCCAGCCTGGTTTACAGAGTGAGCTCCAGGACAGCCAGGGCTATACAAAAAAAGCCCCCCCCCTCAAAAATAAATAAATAAATAAATAAAACAGAAGAGGAAGAAATAATAATAATAATAATAATAAAATAGATGGGAAGAAATAATCAAACTCAGGTTGGAATCAACAAAATAGAAACAAACAAAAACAAAGAGTTGGTTCTTTGAGAAAACCAACAAACTTTTAGCCAAATCAACCAAAAGATAGAAGAGCCAAATTAATAAAATGAGAGATGAAAAGAGAGATAATACAACAGACAGCAAAAGACACTCAGAGAGTCATAAAGACATATTCTACCAAATTGAAAAACCTAAAAGAAATTGGTGAATTTTTTGAAATATATGACCTACCAAAGTTAAATAAAGATGAAATAAACTAAACTAGGTCTATAACCCCTAGTTATGAGAGTAACCAAACACCTTCTGATTGGATTTAAGGCCTGCTCCATGACATGAGACTCCATACAGGACACTGCCAAAGTGGGCAAAGTGGGCAAGACAGCATAGGTCTTGGGGGGAACTAATACTATTATTCCGCTAAAGGATACCAGAAATAAAATGACTTCTAAAGACATATTACTATGTGCATCTCCAAACCCCAATCAGAGACACTTCTTGCTGTAGATGTGAATTAACACAGAGAACCACAACTGGACAATGTGCAGACAGTGAGAGACTTGGGAACACTTAGTCCTAAATGGGTTGTCAAAATATTTCCCTCAAGGCTCAGGAATCTATTTAGAAAAGGAGGTGAGAAGAGTATAAGAGCCAGTGAATGATTCCAAGGAAACAGTGTCTTTCAGATTACAACAGGACTCATACTCATACAAATTCACAGAGACTTGACAACATGCACAGGGCCCGCACAGGTTCAAGCCAGACAAAATCCCAGCACTGAGAAAGAAGAAGTAGACACAAAGTCTCACCCCTAACCTAGAAGTCATTTACAGTTGTTAACCTGCTGGGAAAGATAAAATAAGTTTTCTCCAGTGGAATGTCATTGGGTATATTAACCATACTCTGGGACAGGCTCAAGGTCCAGGAGTAGTTGGTTACATAAAATGCATTTCAAAGGGTTTTCTGTGGGTTTTTTTTTAATTTTGTTTTGTTATTTGCATTTATTTTTATTTTTGTTCTGGTGAGAGATGATGGAGGGAGAAAGAACCTGAAGTTAGGTGCAGAGTGAGATGGGGAAGAATATGGAGTGAGATGGAAGGAAAAATAATCAAATTATAGTGCCTGAAAAAAATTTAAAGAAAAAAATAGGATGAATATTGACATTATAGGCCACAGAACTCAACAAATGAGTTAAAATCCCAGTTCCTAGGCTGGAAGTATAAAGGCAGAGAAAGTACTTGAGTAGTATGTGTAAAACCTTGGGTTTGATTTAAAAAAAAAAAAACCAGAAAAATGAAAATAAATAAATCCTAGCTCTACTATAGTTAACTATGTGACCTTGAACATATTACTTAGATTTTTCTCATCTTCTATTATCCCATCAGTAAAAGTTAGTATTAAAACAGCCATTTTTTTCAGGATGTGATGTCACACACCTTTAATTCCAGTATTTGGGAGATAAATACAGACAGATCTATTGAGTTTGATGATAACCTGATCTACATAGCAAGTTCCAGCCCAGCTAACCCTGCCTCCAAAGGAAAAAAAAAAAAAAAAAGCATCACTTCATGTATTGTTGAGATTACATAAACCAAAGTATGTAAAAGCAGTAAATGTTCGGTAAATGAAAGGTTGAAGACATTCTATAAGAAATGAGTAATCATGAAATGTGATTGTGTTCTAGGAGGCATATAGTACCTTGATGGAGAAAAAATACCCACTTTGATTCTAGATCTCGAACTACCACTGATAACTATATAATTGCAATTTGCAATTTATAAAACTTTGTTTTTCTCCTAGCCTTTGAACTCATCTGGATTCGTTGGGTCTTTAACTTAAGTTGGAGAGGGATGCCACACATGTTTGGCACATGGGTCCTCATCACCACCACCACTACCAAGTGGCTCCCTGACTTCCTAAGCGGCCTGTTGACTTGCTGTGCATCTCTAAGCATTGAAAACAAAAGGTAATGGTGGAGGCCTTATCTGTATAAATTAAGTATCGCACCATCAGGGTCAAGCATGGATTGCTGCTCATTTTTTAACGCGGCTGTTAAGAAAAATACACATACATTTCACGATTAAAATCGTGCTTTATCATTCCTATCAGAAATAACTTTGCAGTCGTGTAATTTTGGCAAACCAGACTAGCAAGGATATTTCTGCAGTGTCTGGCTGTGCACCCGGCAACCAGCACAAGCTCCGCCAGAGCTCCTTCCGGCCTCCCGCGTGGTGCCACACCAAGAGTGGTCCCCCAAGTCTTTTCCGGTGACTCTGCTTCTCTTTATTCTTGCCTTTTCAAACTCCTAATTTTGGTGAAGGCCTGGGGTCCTTTCTGTCAAACTCTAGGTCCTCAGCCTTGGCGCCACTACCAGGGCGCGCAGCCTGTATGGTGTTAACTAGCCGTCCCGACTTCACTTTCGTGCGGAACCAGAGGTGCAGACTCGGTTTCCAGCAGATTGCGGAGAGAAGCGCTACCCGGGCTTCCTCAAGCGCAGTGGAGGTAACACTTGCTTTTTGGCCCGTGCTTCCGCGATCGCCACTGATTTGAGTCTCTTCCCTACTGGGTCGAGCTGCTGACAGCGACAAGATGAAGGCGAAGGACACCGCGCTGGTGTCTCAACCTGAGCCTATCAAGAAGCTCGCTCGAAAGAAAGCCAAGAAGAGGCTCAGGAAGAGCAAAGCGCAGGGAGGAAGCGTGGTTCCTGGAAGCCTCCCGCCAGCTGTCGCGGGCCGACCGCCAAAGGCCCCAGAGAACTTTTCTCAGAATTGGAAGGCGCTGCAAGAGGTGAGACTGGTGACAGGCCACCTTCATCTCGGACTTTTGGTCGGGTAGCCACACAGCACGGAGGAGAACTACGGGTGGTTCCAAAACGTGGAAGGGCCACTCAATATCGTACGGACTCCTTCGCAGAAACGTCGGCCTAATAGGCATAGCGGTAGTGCAGTTGTGGCTGTCTGGCCTTTTGACGGTTTTAGTAGTGGCCAATGCTTCTATATACTATAGAGGTTGCTCTCTGCTTTGCTCAAATTATTATTTTTTTTTTTCAGTTATAAATCCCATATCTCTGTTGCCACCTTGCTGACATCTTAAATTAGGTCCCAGAATTCTGGCCTAGACTACTCTGGGACTCGTGTAGTTCAGGGTTTCCCCGCACTAGTGGTAATCCTCTTATGTTAGGTAGCCTCCCAAATGCTGGGATTACTGGTGTGAACCACTATATTCACCCTGACTCATACATTTTTACATTCTAGTTCAGTGCTTTTACTGTCCTTGTTTCTTAGATGAGGACATTGAGACACAGAGCTTAAAGGATTTGGTTTAAGAATGGTCACATAGCATATAAGCAGCAGAACTGGGATACTGGCCATACTTTTTGATCTGTTGACGTGCAGGTAATTCTCTGGAGTGTACGCCACAGAGCCTCAGTTAATATGAAAGAGAGCACAGAACACTCCACCTTGTTCCTTAGTGTGATTTTTCCTGACTGGACACACAGGACCAATCAGCCAAAGCCTGTGGACAGTCCCATTTCTGTAAACCAGTTCTTGTCTTTTTTCTCCCAAGATAGTGAAGTACAAGTAAATGTGTGGAATGCATATTTACTATAGGGAACTTGGAGGTGGCTCTGGTTTCTACAAGAATCTTAAACCCTTCAGGTCTCTTGACTATTAGGGGAGCGGGTAAGTAAAAACCCATTGCATCTTCTCAGTTGGTTGCCATCTTGCTGAGGTCTCGATTGCCTTTGCCTGGATGAGATCAAAGCTATGGCTGTTCTCACCAACCATCTCTGGCTTGACAAATTTTTTTTCCTTTCCATTGAACTCCCTTCCCTTGGGTCTTCCTCAGACCCTGCACTGTAGCCAACCTCCAGAGACAGTGTAAAGGAAGTGATCATTGTATCGCAGTGTCTTCCATGGAGTCACTCTAAGTGCAACTCCCTGTAAAAGAAGTGAAAATGATGCTCCTGCCCCAGGCTTAGTGCAGTGCTCCGGGGTGTGTTCAGTCACTCAGGCATACATGGTATAGAGCTTGAAATGCCGCATGAGGAAGCATTGCCAGGTTATGCATTGTAATTAGTGAAGGAAAAGCTCTCAATGCCAGTGATTTAAGGGTGTAAACAAGGCTTTTCCAGGGGCTGGAGAGATGGCTCAGTAATCAAGAATGGACCTGAATTAATTTCAGGCACTCATGTGGTAGCTTACAGCTGTCTATAACTCTAGTTGCAGGGGATCCAATGTCCTCTTCTGTCCTCTGGGTGCCAGGCATGCATTTGGTGCAGAGACAACATGCAAGCAAAACACCTATACATATAAAAGTGATTGGGGGGGGGGGGTTGAGAAAGGGTTTCTCTGTGGTTTTGGAGGCTGTTCTGGAACTAGTTCTCGTAGACCAAGCTGGTCTCAAACTCACATAGATCCACTTGCCTCTGCCTCCCGAGTGCTGGGATCAAAGGCATGCATCACTACTTGTCTGGCTAAAAATAAATTTTAAAAATGTTTTTCCAAATAATTTTCTATTGGTGATGGTGATTGGAAGTGTCTATGTGGATGGTACATACATGTTTGTATATACATTTACATACAAGTTCCTTTACATTTAAATGCTGCATGTATTTAATTTTGATCCCATTAGCTGCTGAAACAGAAGTCACAAGCTCCAGAAAAACCTCTTGTCTCTCAGATGGATGACAAAATGCATCCCCAAATAATCCAGCAGAACAAAAAAGAGACCTCAGATAAATCAAAGGGAGACGGGAAGAGGACAGAAAAAGACCAGACCATTAGGGGTTCTGTTACAGCTCCATCTAAGAAGGACAGGAAGAGATCTGTACCTCCCACAAATTCCTCTGGAACAGAACAGAAGAAAGACACCAAGAAAAGGACATATAGTGACATCTCTTCTCATCAAGGGGACATCAAGCATAAGTGGAAAGCTAAGGAGGCAGCTGTTGTCATGAACCAGTCCTCACCTACTGAGTGAGTATCAACTTTGCTATGGTGACTTTGCTGCTGGGGCCACAGATATTAATGCATATCTAGCCTCCACTGTCTTCACCACTAAGAAGAAATGACCATTTGGCCCTAGTGCATTCTTCCTCACCCGACCCTGTGGTGTTTGTTTTGTTGTTTACTTGTCACTTGTTTACCCTAGAGTGTGGGTTGCTGAAGGCAGATCCTATTGCTTAGTCAGTTCTGTGTCTTTGGACCCCAAAATAGAGCTTGGTACAAGGTAAATGCCAACAAAACCATTGGCATAATGTGTGTTGGAACCAGAAGGAGTTGTGTGAAACCCAGTCAGCCCTGCCTCTTGCCAGTTGATGGCTTTGAGCAGGTTTCTGTGCCTTTTCTTCTTCAGTGTGGCCTTCTGTATAATTAGGGGGACTGAGGCGCAGCATGTGTTGCTTAGTGTCTTTCGGCTACTTAATGAGCACTGTGGTGACGCCTCACCTGGAATGGACATGCTTATAAGGCAAGCTGGCGCCTGCTATCTGAGCCTTCCTTTCCCTTTGGCCTAAAGAAAATCTTGGCCCTGGGTTGTGGGGAAGGAAAGCATCTCCTTGGGAACTAGTATGTGTTTATAACAGCTTTGTCAAGTCAAGCTAACTGAGCCCATGACAGACTATAGGACATAGTGCTGAAAGGCAAAGGGATGTGGGTTTGGCTGCCTCTTCTGAGTCGTACAGGCAGGCTGGCTTAGACAGGCAACAAGACCCCTCCTTCCTAAGGCTGATATAAGCAGGGGAGGCACATAGATGTTTACAGTAGCATTTGTATGGGGGTGGGGGTGGGGGTGGGGGGTGTGATCAGGGTAGCCTAGTGAAGAAGGCAAAGAACACAAAACAAGAGGCCTGTCAGTTGAGCCCTTTTGAGTAATGACATTGAAATCAGGCTAAAAAGCTGGAGTTCACCAGATAGCTGTGGAGCATCCACTATCAACTCTGATTCTCTCACTCTTCCAAAATGTGGACACAATTCAAGGTGTAGGTCCCTATCTGTCATGCAGTCCTCCTACCTATGTGTCCTGATTAATAACACATCTATTGTTTAATTAGAAAATGTTAGTAGTGATCATTCTACTGAAGTGGGTCACATATTTCTATTTTACACTCACTGTTTTTATCTGTAGTTCCTAAGTCTTAGTAATAGATATATTTGCAAATTTAAAAGAACAACGGTGAGGGGCTGAAAAGATGGCTCAGTGGTTAAGAGCACTAACTGCTGTTTCAGAGGCCTGGGTTCCCACATGGAAACACACAACCCTCTAACTCCAGTTCCAGGGGGTCTCGTGCATGCCCTTTCCCAGCCATCACAGGCACCAGGCATGCAAGTAATACCTATACAATAAAATAATCAAGAAAGAAGTGCAAAAGCAGGTTCAGCTGGACTGAGTGTGCAGGGGAACAGTCCTGCCAGTCCTCATGGTGCCCTCACAGCCTGCTAACTGGGCAGAGAGATTCTTTGAATAGGCATCCAGTGCCTCATGTCTTTTCACAGCCAGATACTCTCATCTTTGCCTCACAGGGAAGACATCTGGTTTGATGATGTGGATCCAGATGATATTGAGGCTGCCATAGGCCCAGAGGCAGCCATGTTGGTACGGAAGCGGCTGGGGCAGAAGAGCAAGAAAACTATCTCTCTGGTGAAGGAACAGGCCTTTGACGGGTAAGCTGTGCTGGGGCCGTGACTGCTGGGAATGTTCTGCATTTTGGGGCTGGAATCTCTCAGGGGAGGAGGAGCGAGCACTGAGCCATGACTGCCCAGCAGGTCTTAGGGGTGCAAAATGGTGATGAATGGGCTTGGCTCACTGGCCTAGAATCCCCAGCCTGTGATATTTATTATACTGGGGCCTTTGGTTCCCCTCAGCCTGACAAAAGCCTTGGCCCTGGATTGTGAGATGGTAGGAGTGGGCCCCAAGGGGGAAGAAAGCATCGCAGCCCGCGTGTCCATCGTGAACCAGTATGGGAAATGTGTTTATGACAAGTACGTCAAGCCAACTGAGCCCGTGACAGACTACAGGACAGCAGTCAGTGGGATACGGCCTGAGAACCTGAAGCAGGGTATGATGCTTATAGGATTTGAGTGTAGTAATAGAGATGGTAGCAGGACTCATTTCTATCCTACTTTCCCTTTTGTGTTCTGGAACAAGGCATGACAGGGGTCCTGGCCTTTCTTACCTCTTCCCCAGAGTAGCATGCTTTGCGGATACAAAAAGTACCTTTCCTGACTGTTGTGCTGTTTGTGTCCTGTGTTTCTTTGCCTCCTACCCAGGACAATACTCTTGGATTGCTTTCTGTTTTATGGCAGTGGGGGGGGGGGGCGGGTAAAATAGAGTGTGTTAGGGACCAGGAGGGAAACCATGAAGGGTGAGTAGACCATATGGTGGGAGCTGGGGTACATATCACAGGGTGGGAAACTCTATCGGGATGTCAGCAGTGAGATGTCCAGCAGGATACTTTGGTCATGACATTGAAAATAGGGTTGGAGGTCAGAAGACTGGTTCTGAGGTATAAATGGAGTTCTTAATTGGTCTAGATAATAAAAAGCTAGAATCAGATATAGAGGGAAATGCTGAGATCAGAGAGAAGGAGCAAGCACAGCACCCCTTACCTCCTTAACGTCTTAGCAGACAAGAGAGTGATTTCTTATTTCTTCATCTTATATCCAGTTTCTGTCCAGCTACCTCACTGTCTGTCTGTCTCTACAGACCTCCAGACCTCTATGGTTAGCTAGTGGCAAGCTCCATTCTCTGACCCTCAGACAGGCTTTATTTGACCCTCAGACAAGCAAGATCTCACCACACTGAGGCAGGGATTGGACAGGCAGGTTGCTGGAAGACATAGCAGAGACTGGATCTGATTTGTAATAGAAGATATATAGAATGTTCTCAGTTTGCCTTCTGGAGACCAGGAGATGCAACCTTATGATCTCTCCTGACTCCTCCTCACACACTGCCTGTTTGCTTCTCTTGGTATCCATGGCCAGCAAGGTGGCTCTGTTGCTCCTTGAACTACAGGCTGACCAGCAACTCTTGCTTTCTGTCTCAGAAGGGAGGCTGGTCCTATTAGCTCTGAACAGAGTTGGACAGTGAAGTGGATTTGGTAGGAGTGGGGACATGGTGATCCCCAAAGGATGCCTGCTGGGAAAGAGCAGTAAAGCAGACTCTAGGGTCCATGAAGCCCTCCTTGCACTGTTTATGGGAGATACCCAGTCTGAGTCTACTTGGGAAGTCATAAGTATGAGTTGTATTGAGTGGGAAGCATATTGTCAGGTGTTCTGTGAAGTCTTAAATGCTCTTATGCTTTTCCTTGGGTTTGCTAACTGCTGTCAGTCCACTGACAGTGATTGGCTTTGAGTAGAGCTTGTCTTTTTTGTTTTGTTTTGTTTTGTTTGTTTTTTGTTTTTACTGTCTCCAGAAGTTGGAGCAGAACACAAATCACAGTGGGTCCCTCCTAGCCTTTGCGCTTCCCTGGGGTCCAGTGAGACACTTTAGGGGCCTATCTCCCATCAAAGCTCTGTGTATCATTAAGGGCCTGACCTGGCCAGAGAATGGGAGGAACTTCCCTTAGAATTTTGGTGAGTTATATGTTGTTAACCAGGTCTTTGTTTGGTTTTCAGGAGAAGAATTTGAAGTCGTGAAGAAGGAAGTGGCAGAAATGTTGAAGGGCAGAATCCTGGTTGGGCATGCACTACACAATGATTTAAAGGTGCTGGGCGGTGGTGGCATACGCCTTTAATCCCAGCACTTGGGAGGCAGAGGCAGGTGGATCACTGTGGGTTGGAGACTAGCCTGGTCTAGAGAGTGAGTTCTAGGACAGCTCCAAAGCCACAGAGAAACCCTGTCTTTAAAAAAAACCAATAAATAAATAGTAAAGGAGCTGGGTTTGTGGCCATAGCTCTTTCATGTGAGCTACACACGGCCTCACATGCCTGTCTTTAGAAGCAACGTTCTGGGGAATATTTCATTTCGAATTTTTATCTTGACTTGAAAATTCTTTAGGAATAGTATCAGGTACCTGAGCTTGGCTGTGTTCAAGAGACCACATTGGGTACTTGTTTTTAGAGTCCTGACTATACTGTAGTTCTAGTGCCAGAGTGCTGACAGCTCTGTGTCACCTGTCCGATCTGGCAGATGGTCTGATGTCTAGCTGTGTGTCCTGTGACCAGAGACAAATTTCTCTATACCGTCAAAGCCCTGGGGTTCTTGTTGTATGTTCAGTTTATATATAGGCATTGCTGTGATTCTGGAAGCCCAGACTCCTGTTCTCCCCTGGCATCTGAGGAAGACCTAGCCTGCGTTTATTACATAGGTCACTTTAAATAAACTGATGTCTGATTCATTTGAGTGTGTTAACAGGAAATAGGAGTATAGCCTACTTGGCATAAGGGACACCTCTGCTACCATCTGGTGTGATGGACTTCTAATGCCAGGCGTCAGTGCCTTACTGGGTGCCACTAGCAATTACACAGTGCAAACAGTGCAAACAAATCTTATTTAATCCTTTGAAGATGGGAATTAGGCTTTTGGGTGGCAGAGCTGAGTTTTAGGGTGTTGGGAGAAAGCTCCAGGAGAACAGTAGATATGCACTCAGATACTTCTCCCACAGCATGTCAAGCTGGCAGAGCTGACTGTTGCTGCTGCTACTTCAGCTGTCCCTAGAGGTGAGGAACTACATGTTCATGTGTTTCCTCAGGGTATCATTCTAGCTAGTCACCTCCATTGAAGGCTGGCCAAATATCAGCTAGTTAGGTGATTGAGCTCAGAGAACTCCACCCAACGCTAGGGCATCTGACCTCTAGCTCCTGCTCTTTTAGATGCCTGCTGATTAAATAGTGAACATTGTCCTTCCTGGGTATGAACTGTGGTGTCACTTTATTCATGTGTTTCAGGAATCTCTAGATGGGAGTTTAATTCCCATTCTAATGTGTGGGATAGAGATGTAGCTTGGTGGCAGAATGCATGCTTTGTATGTTTAAGGCCCTGGGTCTCATCCCACCACAAAAAAGATAAAAATAACATGTTAACAATTAAAAATTAAAGTCACCTGCCTACTGATATGTTGAGTCACCTCAGAGTCACTAGGGCCACACATGCTTCCTCTAGTAGGTTACATTTTTGGGCTGTGTGAGTCTAGAAGTCTGCCAAGTTGCAGGGTGTTCTTCCCCATGAACAGAATCAGCTCAGATAGAGAAAGTGATTGCAGGTTAATTAACTTTTTCTCAACATCTTGATGTCAAGATCCTATCCTATTTGTATTCCTGTTTCTATTATTCCTATTCTTATCCTATCCCATTTCCTATCCTGTTATATCTCCTACCCTGTATCCTGTGCTGTCTTATATCCTATCATATATCTCCTATTCCTATTCTGTGCTGTCCTATCCTATCTTTTTTTTTTTTTTTTTTCCTCCACCTCCAGAGTGTTAGGATTAAAGTATGTACCACATCTGGCCAAGATTTTATTTTTATTAATATTGGGTACCACCTTAAGTGAGAATGATTAATTTGAGAAGTTCTGCCTTTTTCTGAGTGTTGTGTCCTCTGACACGCTGTGAGAAAATCTTTGGAAAAGGGTGCTCCACTGCTGTGGACTGAAATGAATATACTTGTCATCATTTTCTTCTAGGTTCTGTTCCTTGATCATCCAAAGAAGAAAATCAGGGACACCCAAAAATTCAAACCTTTTAAGAGTCAAGTAAGGGTATGTAATGAATGACTCTTGAACCATGGCTGGTCCCTGGCACTGACCCTGTAGCTAGAGGGGTTTGGTTTGTATTGGTTTTTCATTTTAACCTTTAAGAGTGCTTGCTACACAAGCCTAGCAACCTGCGTTTGATCTCTGGAACCCACATGAAGGCAGGAGAGAACCAGCTCCACCAGGTTTCCTCAGACATGGCTCAATGGTTATGGGCACTCGCTGCTCTTGCAGAAAACATGGGTTAAATTCTCAGTGACCATGTCAGGTGATTCACAGTCATCTATAACTCCAGTCCCAGAGGACACCTCTAGCCTTTTCTGCATGTATATGCACATACCCACATTCAGATAGATATACCTATGTATCACTATTAACAATTTAAAAATTAAAAGCACTCCAGCACTTGGTAGATCTCCAGCCTCCAGCTCCTCCTCTACTGGCTGATAAGCAATGTCATAAGCCACAGCAGGCTAATTGTTGCAACCCTAAGTGCCACAGATACTCCTGGTGAAAGGGAAACTGAAGGTAACTTAGGTGTTCTCATTAACCAGCTGTGTCCTCCTTGGGAAGAGCCTGTGAAAGCAGCACATTCAGTGGTGTGTACCTTCTCTCTACAGAGTGGAAGGCCATCTCTGAAACAACTTTCTGAGAAAATTCTGGGGATCAGGGTCCAGCAGGCAGAGCATTGTTCGGTAAGTATCATTGGGTAACAGCCCCTGACTGTAATACCTAGGCATGTATCTCTTGACAGTAGACACAGAAGAGAGGATGCTAGGCAGATCAGGCTTACAAATGTTGATTATATCTTAAATATTTACATTTAACTTAAACTCAATACAGAGAATAATACCCTGGAAGAATTTGGATCAAAATTTACCAGTCTAATTGAAGGCTATTAGTATACTTAGAGTTTTTTACTAAATACCTGAGGTTGGGGACATCGTGGTAATGAGGCTTAGCTGATCAGAGAGATGCCAAGGAGGGAGGAGCAACAGTTCACTTTTGGCAGAACTGACTGGTGCTCTAAGAATTATTCATGTGTTTCTAGCACCCTTTGCCCCCCCCCCCCCAATTAGGCCCCAACTCTGAAAGGTCCCATTACCCCTATAATGCCCTGAAGACTTAGGGCTCTGTCACTTGAACCATGGGGGATAGAGTCTTTTAAACCCCTAACAGGTGCTTTAGGACTTTATAGCTCCAGGCTCTCAGTCCCAACAGTTCCCCTCCACCCCCCACCCACCCCTGGCCTGGATGTCTTTTTCTGGAGAGCAGGTTCCTCTGAAGTGCAGGCTCTAACTCTTTGAGCCCTTGTGAGTATCCCAGCTGTGCCTGCTGTAAACCAGCTGCTGTAGGGTTCCTCTTCTGCCGCTGTAAATGGAGTGGCTGAGTCTGAAGCACAGGAGTTAGCTTGTGCTCTGATGGCCCAGCCATTTCTCAGTGGTTTTCTCCTTCACTGCCTTACCATACTATGAGATGTGTGCCTGTCTTGACCTTGCAGCCTCAGTACTGTGGCTATCATGAAGACTCATAGTCATAGGGTTGCTTCTGTGGCCTGTGGTCATGTGTTCTCATTCGCTAGATAGTCAACATTGCTGTGTGTCACCCAGGTCCAGGATGCCCAGGCAGCAATGAGGCTTTACATCATGGCAAAACGGGAGTGGGAGAGCATTACTGCAGACCGGCGCCCCCCAGCCACCACCACCCCAAACCGATGCAGCGAGTACGCTTAGCACCAACCTACTGATGTCACCACCCCTCCATCCTTCAGTGACTCCAGTGGCAGTTGGGATGGGGCCATGGAGGCCTATCATGTCTCCGCACAGCAGGACTCACTCTGGTGAGCATTTTCAGAGCCATGGCTGCGAGGGTGTGTCCCTCCTGGACTCTGCTACCAGGCCAGGTCCTGCACCTGTGTGTTGAGGTAGACTAGTTAGCTACCAGGACAGGAGTCAGGGGTGTGATGTAGGTTCAGGGGAAGGAGAGCATTGGAATGGATAAGTGTGCTGCAGTACCTGTTTGCTGACCACCTGTACTACCACTTAACGATGAACACAACTGGATTCAGCCAGGGCATTCAGCACCTTCCCACTTCTTGTGGGTAAGGAGATAAGCACTGCTGCACCTAATGGATCCAAGCTAAGGGCCTTCAGTCTGCTGCAAACCAATCTGTCCAGTACAGCACTGCCCAATGAGGACTTTCTTAAAGCTACTGGGCTGGGGCTACTTTCTCACTCCTATGTCCCTTGATTGGTTCAGAGTCATCTAAAATGCCAACATCCAGTACGGTGTTCTCCACACAGTCCCTGGGGTGAGACTTGGGGCACAGGTACACCTGGAGGTGCAAGACCCTACTGTCTGGGGCACTGTTAACAGAAAGGCCATCTGCTAGCAACAAGTGCAGAGTGGCCAGTTCACTTTATGGACCTACCTGACAACTCTTAGAATGGAGCTGTGGGCTGGGGTGTGACTTGGCACTCATCCACTATGTGTAAGACCCTGGGTCCCATTCCCAACACTGTCAAAAATAAATGGATGGATAGATGGAGTTTGTGGAAGCTTAGCTTCTTCCCATCATCTGGAATTTCCTGAAGCCCTGCAGTGCAGGACCACTGACACCAGGGCCAGGCATGCCATGAACAACTTAGGGCTTTTTTATTAGTCACTGTGGAACGCAAAATACAATACTGGTCCTGGTCATACTTTCCAGGACCAGAAGTGCAGCATCTCAGGACTGGAATATAGGATCTTCCTAATGTTGGGAGGAAACCTTGGGGGCTTTCGGCTCTGAAGCAGGTTCAAGCTGCTTCTCCTGGGGCGTGGAGTGTGCAGCTGCCTCAAGTGCCTGAAGTACCGTGTCAGCATAGGAAATCAGCTCCTGGAAGGAGGAAACAAGTGAACCATTTGTTACAGTGGCTTCAGGGTCCAGGAGCAATTACTTTGATGCTGTAACACCAACCGGATAGTCTAACTGCCCTTCCTCCTTGGGATTGGATTCAGCCCAGTCACAGGAAGAGAGTAGTAGAAAAGCATCACATGAAACTCTGGGTCAGTGCAGTTCAAGTGTTCTGACTTACCAGGCTAGAAGTAAAGCGCCCCCGGATCACATGGACTAGGTCCTTGATGCCTGCAGACTCCAGCTCTGGCAGGATCTCCTCTGCAGTGGAGCAGAGAAGGTGATGAGGCTTAGGGTCCCTGCCCACCAACCAGATAAGGGGTCAGGTGCCACTTTTGCTTGGAGTGAATGAGTGGGATGTCATAGGGGTTTGAGACCAGGCTCTGGGGCTCCCTCCCTTCTAGTGGGAGGACAAGGAAAGAGTCCTTACTGTAGGAAGCCAGGTGGGCCAACAGCATGCAGAGATTCTCAACCACCTCAGGGTCATCCTTGTAGAACTGGTAGATATCTTGGAGGAGGTAGAGGCCACTGCTACCCTCTTCCAGTACTGCCACTCGGAAGGCCACCAGTTCTGGGAGAGGGAGGCAAAGGAGTTTGGGTTTTTAGTATAATGTTGTATAGCTCCTTTGCAGCTGCCCTTACTTCTCAGCCCCCTGTGCCCAGTGTCCCTGGGAAGTAGGGTAACTATGGTTATGGGGTTTCTGGGAGAGCTCTCTTTGGCCAGGAATCCCAGTCTTCTGGGAAGGAAGCTGAAGTCAGGGCTGTCCCCTGCTCTGTGTAAAGTGTTGGGAGAGGTGATTGCACCTGTTGGCAGTGAGCCCCATGCCCAAGAGAAATACAGCACTTGGGTTCCTCTTCCCCTCTGTGCAGGTGGCCCTCCCACCCTGCAGCAGTTAACAAGGTTTAGGGGTGCTGAACCCTCCCCACAGGGTGCTTTGAATAAGGGTGTCAGGGATAAGTCAGGGGGAGTTAAGATCCCCAACAGTTTCCAGGAGGGCCTACCAGCTTGGGTAGCCCAGAGGAATGCCATGAGTAGAACCAAGGAGTGAAACCAAGGAGACCCCTTGGAGCAAGGGAGATGGGTGTTACAGACCAAGAGTGGGAGCATCCCTACCATTCACGGCTGGTGACCGTGGCTTATTCCTGGGTCTAGGGTTCTCTACAAAGGACAGTTGTGCCAGTGCTTAATGTGTGACCTGGCATAAGCCTGGTCTTGGAGACAGACCTATATGTAGGAAATCCATGCAGTTGTGAGATGTGTGTATTGGAGGGGAGGTGGTCCCAAAACACCAAAATACACATCCCAGTGGTATTTCCTGAAGGATGGTTTTTCCTGTTCCAGTTTATGGTCACCTGGTGGACATCACTGGAGGTAGCTAGCTTTTGTTCCACCTCCGTGGTGGCAGCCTGTCTTGTCCCAGACTTACCGGACACCTTTGCGAGGCTGGCCAGGCCACGACAAACATTGTTCACCAGCAATACTCTGCCATGGTACAGCTGAAGGCTTCTCAGGAACAGCTCTACCACCTGCTCAAACTGAGTCTCCTTTATGCAGCCTGAAGAACACAAGCCTTGTTGCCTTATGTGTCCAGGGTCACCCTCCCTGTTACCAAGACTTCAGGCTGCTCACCCAACAAGGACAGCAGCCAGAGCACAGCACAGCCAGCCTCAGCTATTTCTATGTCTTCGGGATACATGGCTAGCACCCAGGTGACCATGACTGAGAGCTTCTTCAAGGGCTCTTTGTCTACATTGGTAGCTAGAACCAGGACAAAAATGGGAGACACCAGGCCACGTATGAATAGAAGTACCTGCTGTGTATATACCCCTTCATACTGCTCCCTCCCACCAAGAACAACAGAGGAGAATCAAGGGGACAGATGTCTTCAGAGATGGGAACTGGGGTTTTCCAATGCTAGAATCTGCAGTAGTCATCAGTAGATGAGGACATTTTTGCACTTGTGTTAGCAGGATTTCTACAGTTTTCTGGGGTTGCCATGGCTTGAAGCCCTCTTTCCTAGGGCAAGACAGTATCTAGAAGAGGGGGAAGGACAGGCCTTGGTCTCCATCCTAAACCAAAAACCAGGATAGAGCATCAAATTTTGGCTGACCTCAAAAGCCAGGGGCTGCCTACTCATTGGACAAGGAGTCCTGAAGGCCTTCCTTTCTTTTCAATTGTGTCTCACTGTGCCCATGTGCTAGGCTCTTAGAAGAGCCCCCCAGGGGCTGGGGCTACCTTCCTGGGATAAAGCAACAGGTATCAACCTGTGGGTTGCAGTGGACTGACAACTGCTGATACAGAGGCTTTAGCACAGTAGTTTTCAACTTTCTTAATGCTGTGTGACCTTTTGATACAGTTCCTTGTGGTTACTCCCAACCATAAAATTGTTTGTGTTGCTACTTCATAACTAATTTTGCTACTGTGCAAATCATGTTGTAATACCTGTTTTCTGATAGTCCTAGGCTACCTCTGTGAAAGGGCTGTTCAACCCCCAAAGGGGTGGTGACTCACGGGTTGAGAGCCATGGCTTTAGCAGGTTTCATGCAGTGGGGCTTGTGGAAGGAGGGCCTTACCATCTATCAGGAGGGACCAGAGCAGGCTCAGGACAGCAAGGCAGACATCCCTGTCCTCCTGGAAGCGGTCTAGGTGGTCTTGGGCAAGCTGAAACAACCCCTCCTCCTCCAGCTCTTCAGAGAGCAACCCTGTGGACAGCCACAGGCACTTGAAAGAAAGGTATCCAGAAGGCTTCCCCAGCACTGCCTTTTTTCCAGTGGGCTGATGAAACACCTAGTCTGACTGGTCTATTTTATACCTACCTTTAATACCTTTCTCACTCAAGTGGGCTTAGTGTGCACGAGAAGCCAAAGACCTGGATTGACCCAGTGCCTAGCCTTGACCTGACTTATTGGCCAGCCATTTGATTCTTGGCCACTGTCCTCAGCTTCCAAGCAGTGTTCATGGCTGCCATTGAGAGCAGAGAATAGTGGCTATCCATCTCAGCAATGAGCCCCTCTCCCGCCCATCTCCCAAGGCCTCTGTTCTGTCCCTGGATTTTTAGAGCAGAAAGGAAGGGCAGAAGTCCAGCACACTCACCTTGGCTGGAGATGATGGTGAACAGGTTATAGGCCATGATGATGAGCTTCTCAGAGTCAGGGTGCCTCCTTAAGGAGTTCATCAGGAAGGAAATGATAGACCTGCCCCTTGGGATCTCAGCTTCTGAGTCTTGTGCCAGTGCTGATTGGGCCAGAGAAAGAACATGGGTTAACTCTACAGTTGGCGCTCCAATGTAGACCAGTGCCTTCCCTCCCTAGCAGAGTCAGCATTACCTCTTCAAATTAAAGAAACAGATCTGCCTATTCTCTAGGCATTAGGCAAGTCTTTGTAAATACCAACAAGTTTATGGCATCTTCCAGTTCTGGCCTCCATGATCTTGCTGGCCTTTCCCAATGATGGGGCATGAACATTTAGTATAAAGTATTTGTGGGCTCTTGCCCAGTGGTAGAGTGCAAGAGGGCCTGGATTTGATTACTCCCCACCCCTGAAAAAAGATACAATCTGTGTGGTGCTTAGGCCCTCAGTATTAAGACTAGAAAAGTAAAGGGGTAACTAGATGCTCCAGGCTTAAAGATGTAGCTAGTTTTCTTCCTGTTCCTGAAAGCTGGGGGAGCTCAGCAGTGGAAGCTTTGACTAGGGACTTGAGTGCAGTGCTGTCCCCTCCTGGCAATCGCACTCTCCAAGCCTCTCCTGGCCAGGAAAGCCCACTAGACCATCCTGTCCAGCTCTTATAACATAGCTGGTGAATAGTCGAGAGAGACAAGCTTATCCAGGGTCCCAGCAGGCTGGGTCAGGTCCCATGTAGACCCAGTGTATGCAGACATTAATTATGCTCTCTATCACTCGGTGGTGGAGTCGCATAGGCACAGAAGAGGACAATGGATTGGAAAGGCAGATGTCGGGGATGGGTGGGAAGTTCGAGGAGCTGGTGAGGCAGAGGACCCAGGAGGGTAGGGCTTCTCTACTCAGTCTGGTGCCTACCTTGACCCAGAACACGCAGCAGCAGGGAGCAGGTACTAAGCACAATGTCCAGGATCCTCTCGTGCTGCCTCATGATGCTGATCACCTCCTCCAACAGCTCAGTGGGCCATGGCAGGCCTGTAGAGTGCACAACACAGGTGAAGCACAAGAGCAGCTGGGCTGTGACCCTGACCTGATGCCCAGAGGCTGCTGGGGGCCCACTAGTGACTATGGAGGACCCAGGTGGGTAGACACGAGGCCAGAGAAAGATGACTAGCCCATGTGTTCACAGAGTCCATGGAGCAGACCGTCTGCCAACGTTCACATTCTGTATTGTCTGGGCTAACTGGGAGTTCCTGGTTTTTAGTGGTTCTCCTGCCTCAGCCTCCTGAATAAAAGACCTCAGGCACAACAACTTCATGCCCAGCTCTGCCAAGGCATGTACTTGGAGCAGCTTCATGAAGCAGCTCTTCTCAGCCTTCACTTTCAGATGACACAGCTAAGAGTCAGTGATGAGTATTCGGTATTAAATGGCGATGTAAACCCAGCCTGTCTGACCCCAGAGTCTGTGGCTGTGACTGTCTTGAAATTTCGTTCGTGATAGGGACATCAGATTGAGGAACACTGGTGCCCAGGAAACAGCTACAGGAAGTCCTCTCTGATGAGGCTAAGGAGGAGGCAGCTCCAGGGTGGTTGGTGAGGTCCATTGTTGGGCAAAATGTAACTTATCCTGGGCTTTATCTTGGTCACAGAAAGGGACTTTGAGAGAGTAATGGCCAATACGAGGGGTCTATTAACTTACTAGGAGTCACCTCAGCCTCCATGTGACCTCCACTGTACTAACCACCAGAATAGATCTTTAGTGGCCTTTGGATGTTTTGTGAATAGAAAGGTAAGACAAGTGGGCAGATGGAGGAATGGATAAGATGGGTGGAAGAACAGATGGAAAATTGTGGAAAGGAAAGGATGGAGGAAGGAGGGAGTGATGAACTAGCTGCAGGAAAGGGTATATAGGTAGCATACAAGTATGCTATTTGAACAGGAGAGACAGCAAAGCATGTCTGCAGACATTTAAACTCCCAAGAAGCTTAATACCCATCAGAGGTAGAGCCTGGGAAAGAGCTGTTCTCAAGCACTCTGATAGGAAGACAAGTTGGTGTGCTTAGGGAGAATGGAATGTAGCACTTATACTCTGATACCAGAGGTACATCTGACAAGCACATATGGGCACATGTCAAGTGGCCAATATGCCAGATGATCAATCATGGTGCTGTCTATAAAAGTGGAAAATGAGCAACTCAGATACCCACTATAGAAAGATGATGGGACAGACGGATGAGTCTCTTCAATCAGTTGGGATGGTGCACACTTGTAATTGTAGGTACTCTAGAGGCAGAGGCAGAAGGATCACAAGTTCAAGGACTTTTTGGACTACACAGTGAGTTTGAGGCCAGCATGGCAACTTACATTAGACCCTTTCTGAAACTTTAAAAACAAACAATAAAAACCCTGAAGAGCTGGGGAGGTAGATCAGCAATGAGCAGTTAACTAGCATTGTATAAGTTTTAGTCTCTGGAACCACTACAACACCCTAAAAGGGTCCATCTTTTTTTTTTTTTTTTTTTTAAGAGGCCTTGTCTCCCTATAGATACAAATTGGAAAATAAGAAGTCAAACGTTCTCTATTTGCAGATGATATGAGAGTTTACATAAGTGACCCTAATAACTCTACAAGGGAACTCCTACAGCTGATAAACACCTTCAGCAAACTAGCAGATTACAAGATAAACTAAAAAAAAAAAAAAAAATCAGTAGCCCTACTTTATTCAGACAACAGAGGGGCTGAGAAAGAAATCAGAGAAACATCACCTTTTACAATAGCCACAAACAACAACAAAGTATCTAGGGGTAACACTTAACAAACAAGTAAAAGACCTATATAATAAGAACTTTGTGGCTTTAAAGAAAGAAATTAAAGAAGATACCAGAAAATGGAAAGATCTCCCATGCTCTTGGATAGGTAGGATAAACAATAAAAATGGCAATCTTGCCGAAAGCAATCTACAAATTCAATGCAATCCCCATTAAAATCCTAGCACAATTATTCAGTGACCTTGAAAGGATAATAATCAACGTTATATGGAAAAACAAAAGACCCAGGATAGCCAAAACAACCCTGTACAATAAAGGAACTTCTGGAGGCATCACCATCCCAGACTTCAAGCTCTACTACAGAGCTCTAGCCCTGAAAACAGCCTGGTATTGGCACAAAAACAGACAAGTAGACCAATGGAATCAAATTGAAAATCCTGATATTAACCCACACACCTATAAACACCTGATTTTTGATAAAACATCTAAAAGTATACAATGGGAGGAGGAAAACAAATGGTGCTGGCACAACTGGATGATGGTGTGTAGAAGACTGCAGATAGACCCATGTCTATCGCCACAAACAAAACTCAAGTCCAATAGATCAAAGACCTAAACATAAATCCAGCCACACTGAACCTCTTAGAAGAGAAAATGGGAGGTACCTTTGAACAAATTGGCACAGGAGACTGCTTCCTGAACATAACTCCAGTAGCACAGACACTGAGATCAACAATAAATGGGATCTCCTCAAACTTAGAAGCTTTTATAAGGTAAGGGACACAGTGGACAAGACCAAACAGCAGCCCACAGACTGGGAAAAAAAATCTTCACCAATCCTACATCTGACAAAGTGCTAATCTCCAAAACATACAGAGAACTCAAGAAACTAGTCAACAAAGCACCAGATAACCCTGTTTTAAAAATGGGGTACAGAACTGAATAGAGAACTCAATAGAGGAAATCAAAAAGGCTGAAAGACACTTAAAGTGCTCAACATCCTTAGCTATCAGGGAAAGCAAATCAAAACAACTTTGAGATACCATCTTACTCCTGCCAGAATGGCTAAAATTAGAAACACCAATGACAACTCATGCTGGAGAGGATGTGGAGAAAGGGGAACACTCCTCCACTGCTGGTGGGAGTGCAAACTCATACAGCCATTTTGGAGATCAGTATAGCGGTTCCTCAGGAAAATGGGAATTAGTTTACCACAGGACCCGGCAATCCCCCTCTTAGGCATATACCCAAATGATCCACATCCATGCAATAAAAACATGTGCTCAACTATGTTCATAGCAGCACTATTTGTAATAGCAAGAACCTGGAAGCAACCTAGATGCCCCTCAGTTGAAGAATGGATAAAGAAGATGTGGCACATTTACACAATGGAATATTACTCAGCAGAAAAAAACAATGGAATCTTGAAATTCGCAGGCAAGTGGATGGAACTTGAAGAAACCATCCTGAATGAGGTAACAAAAAGAGGAACATGGTATTTACTCACTCATATATGGATTTTAGACCTACATCAAAGGATCACCAGCCTATAATTCACACCACCAGAGGAACTAGGATACAAGGTGTATTCTAAGAGATTCATATAAAGTCCTTCACAGAAGGGGGAAGGGACAAGATCTCCAGAGCACATGGGGAGTTGAAGGGGGCAGTGAGTGGAGAGGGAACTAGGAGAAAGAGAAGGGAGGAGAGGAAAGCAGGTGGGACTAGGAAGATTGATAGGTTTGGAGAGGAAACTGAACATAGAGAAATGTCCAGAGACCTACAAGACTGACCCAACTAGCAATTTGAGCAACAGTGGAAAGGCTACCATAAATGCCCTTCCCTTATAATGAGATCGACAACTAACTTATTCACCACCATGGAGCCCTCATCTAGTAGCTGATGGAAACAGAAGCAAACACCCACAACTAAACACTGAGCTGAACTGGAATCCAGATGCAGAGAGGGAGGACAAGACCAGGTTGCAGAAACACATAGACAGCTGACCTGAACAAGGAGGAGCTAACGGGCCCCCAGACTGATAGCTGGGAATCCAGCATGGGACTGACTCAGACCCCCTAAACATGGGTCTCATCTAGAAGGCCTGAGCAGTCTAAGGAACCTCAGACAGTGGAACCAGGAGGTATTCCTGGTGCACAAAAAGACTTTGGGGGTACATCCCCCATGGAAGGATACTCCCTTAACCTAGAGACAGGAGAGAAGTCCTAGTCCCTACTCCAAATGATTTGACAGATGTAGATGACTCCTCCTGGAGGGCATCACCCTCCATGTGGAGTGTGGGGGGGTGATGGGAGGGGAGGGTGGTGGTGGGGGCATGAGAGGGTGGGAGAGAGGGGAAGAGGAAGGGAGAGGGAACTGGGATCAATATGTAAAATTAAAAAAAAAAAAAAAAGGCCTTGTCTCTCTACGATCAAGCTGTCCAGGTATCAATCCTTTTGCCTCAGCCTCCCTAGTGCTAGATGTATTTCCTGTTGACCTGTTGAAATCATGCAGTGAAGCCAGCCTCTCTCTTACTGTCCTCTGCTAATAAGCATGGGATCAGGGAGAACTCTAGTTAGCAGCACTGCCAAAAGAGCCTGTAATGAAAGGTTGTTTGGTTCCCATCTCTATCTACACTGCTCCATTTCCACCTCCCAGCCTTTCCCAGTAGGTTCTGGGGAAGGTGCAGGATCTTTACCTAGCTCTTTCTCTGTCATTGTCAGAAGCTTGTTAAGGACCCTGAGCTGGACCTCTGGTCGGGTGGAGAAGTTCTGCATGACATCTGCAGGAGCAAGAAGATATAGAAATCCCTACTGAGGGCCAAGCCATGGGGGTACAATCCCTAGCTTTGCATCAGTCAGGCTACAAGGCAGTACTCCTATCCTCACTTTTCAGAGGAGGGTTGCTCAGACCCGGGGACTCACCTAAAATCAAATCTTAGTCTCTGGGACCCTATCCCCGAGCCATAGTGCCAGCTGGCATGCACTCTGGCACATAGGAAGCATACAGCCTAAGTGAGGAGGACACCTGGCGTCTAGGGCGTGAAGCCAAAGGCCATAGGACTCTGGAGAATATGGGTAGTGATAGGTCTTAACTATACAGGGGATATGTCCAGTGAGTGGGGTAGGGGTGGGGTACAAAGACACCAAGCTTCCTAATGGCAAGGCCACAGTAGCTCCCACTGTATCTCCACCATCACCTAGAACGTTGGCCAGGTTTCCTTCTAGTAGCACATCAGTGATGAAAATGGGAACCGCCTGCCGGTGCATGTTCAGAGCAACGCAGGAGTTTCTGAAGGAAGTGCTCATGAAGGTGAATTGGATCACGTCCCTGGCAGAGGGGCAGACAGTACAGGTGGCTTCCCATAGTGGCAGATACTAAACACTAGTCTTCCTGGTGGGTAGGGGCTCTCTGTGTCCCATTCGTATCTAGCATCTAGTAACTAACCATCTTTGTAGTGTTCCACTTCTAGGGACCTACTCCACTCTGTGAAGTCACAGGACTCCCTCTGTGGAAGGGCCCCCAAGGATGATCCTGGGTCTAGCACTTTTGCCTTCATGCCCCCTTCTTCCTTAAAAATATGAACATTGGGCAGTAGTAATGCATTCCTTTAATCCCAGTACTTGGGAGTCAGAGGCAGGTGAATCTCTGAGTTTGAGGCCAGCCTGGTCTACAAAGATAGTTCCAGGACAGCTAGGGCTACATAGAGAAACTCTGTCTCTAAAACCCAAAAAAACTGGGCTGGAGAAATGGCTCAGAAGCTAAGAGCATTTGCTGCTCTTCCAGAGGTCCTGAGTTTAATTCCCAGCAACCACATGGTGGCTCACAATCATCTATGAGATCTGGCGCCCTCTTCTGGCCTGTAGGCAAACACATAGGCAGAACACTGTATACATAATAAATAAAAATCTTAGAAAACAACACCAAAAACATGAACAGGTTTTCTGATTGACAGTGTTAGAATTGAAACTTTTCCTGGGCTCCTGGGAGTGATATGTGTCCTTGAAGTTGTTCTCCTGCACCCAGAAAGTAGGGCTGCTTGCATCTCTTTTTCGGAGACAAACACACACACCTTAATTCCAGAAGCTGAGGCAGGAGGATAAGTATAGATTCACAGCCAGCCTGGGCCACAGAGCGAGACCCCATCTAAAAAACAGAAAAAAAAAATGAGCATGTATTCAAGATAGTGACTGCCAGGTAGTTGAGGAATGTCTGTGGACAGATCAGGACAGCTCTGCGTATGAATGTGGGAAGATGCTCAAAGGTACACTGATAGGTTAAAAGAAGACCCAGCCTTGAGCTCACTTGATGGCTAGTCGATCTGAGGGGTTCATATGCAGCATGAAGGGCAGAAGCAAACAAAAGATTTCTGCACCGGGGACTTGCTTCTCCTCCATGGTCTTCAGGATGGGCTTCAGACTGCCTGGGTGATGGCGGATGGCCTTCCGGAGGTGCATGGCTTCTGTGTCCTTTGAGGAAAGAGGGCATCTTAGCCAGGAAGATGAATGCTGCCATCAGTGCTCCCTCACCAGACTGAGCAAGAGCTGAGGCAGGGGCCTGGGGAAAGTAAGCATATTGTAGGGTGGCATGATAAATAGAATGAGGACAGGTGGCTTCTCCATGGGAAGCTCACGTTCAGGAAGGAGCAAGTGGCCATGTCTAGGATGATGCAGCCCAGGGACCAGATGTCAGATTTGCAGGTAAAAGAGAATTTGAGAGTTTCAGGAGCCATCCAGGACTTCTGGCAGGGGTCTGTGGGCAGGATCAAGGTAGGAGAACCACTGAGTCCTATGCTCCCTGGGGACAGAGAACAGAGCAGAGCAAACCTGTCCAAGCACTACCACTCCTGATCTTTCTCCCTCCACCTCTCAGTGCTGAGACTTCAGGCTTGCTCCACCATACTTGGTTGGCTACATTGTCCCCATTTTAGTATTCCTTTGCAAGGGCTTAAGTCAGGAGCCCTTTAGTCATCCTCTTTGGGTGAGATGAGAATTGCAAGCTGTAGGCAGAGAGGCCATTTTTCTATAAGAAAGGCTTGTCCATCTGGGCAAGTGTCTGCCAGGCTGGCTCCAGTGCCTGCCTATCTGTGGCAGCAGGCAGGAGATGGGAGAGACATGTTCAAGAAAAGCTAAAGTGTGGTTCTCTTTGAAAAGCTTATCCCCTCTAAATGTGAGGACCTCAGGGCAAAGTTCTGGTTGCTCTGTCATATTCCTAACCTAAACCCTGCAGAAAGAACTGCAAGTATAGGGACCTTGCCCCGTTCTATCAGTGTGCCTGGACCCAGATAATCACTTCATTTCCAAACCTCTATTTCCTAGCTGAACAGCAAAAGGCCAGACTCCAGTGACACACACCATCAACCCCTCCAAACAACCTTTCCATGTGTCTACCTAATCACCAGCCCACCCATCCATCCAGTCGTCATTCATCAACTTACCCACCCATGCTGTGTGCCAAGGACAACCATTGCCACTACAGGATTCTGAATTCTCTTCCAAGGTGGCTCTGTCTATCTGGGATAGCTGTTACAGGCTTGATACCCTTTATCCTATCATCTTTTCAGGCCTCTGTGTAGCATGCACTGTCAGTGCCTACATCCCAGAGGACTTCTGTACCCCTAATGTAGCTTCTGTCCTTCTTGGGTGCTCTCTTCCTCACAAGGATCATCACTTCTGGAGGACCACAACCATTGCTTTGTCCCCTAGGGCTCCCTTTCACATGTTGGTGTCCTTTGAACCCTTATCCACAGTGGCGTGTCTGTTGTCTTATGCCCTTGGTAGGAGGTCTCTGGACCTTCTGCGCCAAAGGACCCAGCCCAAAGAGTAGCCACTGCCCTCTGGATGCCAAGAGCCACCACCTCCCTTGCCACTCATTCAAACCCCTCCTCCTCCAACCACCTTCTTCTGCTCGGACATTCCACTTGGCTTCATGGGTCATCAGTGCCTGGGAACTCAAGTCCTGAACTTTACAGTAGTTGTCATTGATAAGAGCGATGTTGGAAGGCTTCAGATTCCTACAACCAAAAGCAGAGACCCCTGGTGCCATGCAGCTGTCTGGGCAGGGCTAGCACATACCTGAGTCTTAAGCCTATTCTCCAACCCAGTTCCAGTCCTTTTCACTCAAGAAAATGCCCTGCTTGGCCCACTTGTTAAATAATTGTTTCTTAAAACATGGCTCCTAACATGAGGGATCAGGATGGTTAAGTTGGGAGGGATGAAGAGGAAGAGCATGAAAGAGATATTTTGATAGAGGGGGCCCGTATGGGATTAGGGAGAAACCTGATGCCAAGGAAACTCCCAGGAATCCACAAAGATGATGCCAGCTAAGACTCCTAAAAATAATGGAGAGGGTGCCTAACTGGCCTTATCCTGTAATAAGATTGGTGACTACCCTAGTTGTCATCATAGAATCTTTATCCTGTAACTGATGGAAGCAGATATAGAGATCCACAGCCAAGCACAGGGCCGAGCTCCAGGAGTCCAATCGAAAAGAGGGAGGAGGGACACGAGCAAGGGAGGTGGTCAAGATCATGATGGGGAAACCCAGAGAGACAGTCGACCCGACCTTGTGGGAGCTCACAGACTCTAGAGACATAGCTAGGGAGCCTGCATAGGACCAGCCTAGGCCCTCTGCATGTGGGTAACAGCTGTTTAGCTTGGTCTGTTTGTGGGGCGTCTAGCAGTGGGACCAGGATCTGTCCCTGGTGCATAATCTGGCTTTTTGAAACTCATTCCCTATGGTGGGATACATTGCTCAACCTTGATGCAGCAGGGAGGAGCTTAGTCCTGCTTCAACTTGATATGCCAGGCTTTGTCCCCATGGGAGACCTTACCTTTTCTGAAGAGTGGATGGGAGCAGTAGGAGAGGAGGGTTGGTTTGTTAAATAAACAAAACAAGCAACAATGACAAAAACCCCACTATGACTTCCACACAGTTTCTGTACATTAAGGAAGACCCCCACCACCACTGTAAACACCTAGGTCCCGCATTAGAGTAGGTACCCATTATTCTTTGCACATATGGCCCATGTTGGTGGAAGCTATTTCCCATATCTTCCCACTGTAGATCATGGGCCTGAAGCTGGGTGCAGGGGTCAAAGGCTAGGCCTGGATTGCAGCAATTCATACTGGCCTGTCCAGAGGCTGTACCACTGCATGCAACCTCACCTCTTTTCCTTGGCATCTTATCTCTATCTCGTTGCCCTTTAGAACCACCCCGCCCGGCCCCCACACTCCCATAGCCCTGTGCCTCGGGTGAGTCAGATGCTCAGAGGCTTCATGGGGAGGTGCCCTGTTCTCTCAGATAAGAGGAAGGGGAGTTCACAGAAGATGCCCCATCCTACCCAGATCTGGTTCCCAGGCCTTGGCGTCTGGACCTGGGAGTTTTGGCCAGTGTGTAGAAGAGGCCCCATCACCTGTGAATGATGTTCAGATGGTGTAGGTACTCGATGGCATCCAACACCTGGCTCAGCATGGTATGCATCCACTGAGGAAGAAGTAGCATTGGAAGGGCCCTGGGAACTCCCTAAGGAGGTCTCTGCAGAGCTGCATATGATATACAAGTAGTCAGTGGGTCAGTGACATGCTGGGTTCCCTGGGGCTGCCAGTGGGCCATGCTGCTCATGGAAGGTGGCCACTACTGTAGTGCCTGTTAGAGCTTGCACTTTCTCCTGTCAGAGTGAAAAGAGCCTGTGAACACGATAGGGATAACAAAATGCACCTAGTACTCAGGGCTACCATTTTCAAACAGTGTACCTAGGACTCCTGAAGCCCATATCTAAGGTGCCAGAGACACCCAGGAAGCCCACACCCTCCCACTGCAGCCCCTATCCTGACAGAGGAGCTCACTTAATGGTTCTGTGAACATCTCTGTCTTCCCAGATTTCTACCAGTGACAGAGGTACAAGCCCACTCCAAAGCCTGCCCCTGAGGTGCAGGCAATGAAATGAGCTACATGCCCCCTCTAAGCCTCTCTGAGGCTCTGGCCTGTGGGAGCACAGAAATTCTCAGAGGAGAGAATGTTCAGATCATCTTGGGAGAACACTAGGCCCAAAGGCAAAAGTGAATGTTTATAAGCTTCTAGAAGAAAACTGAGAACCTGTGGCCTGGGGTAGGGAAGGCTGCCTAAGCCAGGACCAAAAGGCCCTGACTACAAGAAGGACACCCATCAACTGGCCTCCATTACACTAAGAGCTGCCTATCACAAAGTGGCATCAAACAAATGAACTGGCAAGCCTCAGACTGGGTAGAGATACAAGACCCTGATGTGTATCATATGTAAAGAATGTCTACAAATCAACAAGAAAAAAAAAAACAATTTATATGAGCAGAGGAGTTAAACAGGCACAGAGGAAGAACTCTGAATGGCCCAAATGTTGCTGTGTGTGTTGATGGAGGCCTATAATTCCAACACTGAGGAGGTGGAGGCAGGAGTATCAAGTTCAAGGACATCCTTAACTAGTGAGTTCATGGTAACCTCAAAAAACAAAACAAAAACCACAGCAAAACAAAAACACATCTAAAATGTGCTTGCCAAGTCTACTGATAGGGAGGTGCGAATTGAAATAATAACAGAATGTCTCTACCCCCTGAACTCTTGACAGGAAAAGAGGCCCAGTGATAATTGTCCAGAGGGTCAAATGGAAGGGGAACCCTCTTTGTTTCTAGAGAAATTAAACTGACCAACCAGCTTCTTCTAGAATGCCTACTGAAGCCACATCCTCTGCTCTGCAACCCAGCAACCCAGTCCTAAGTGATTAGGCAAGAAATACTATCTCTTCCACAATGCTCTTGGCAGCCTTATGCTACATCCCTGAATTGGAGGTGATCAAAGGTTCATCAGTGCAGCAGAGGTAGACCCACTTAGCACTGCCTTACCATGAACAAAGAATAATCAGGGCATGGCTAGACCTCAGAGGCATGGGGCTGAGTGGACAACACGTGTTCAGATTTGAGCCATACACAGAATTCATCTCGATGAATTTAGGAAGTATATTATAGTCTCTGGAGGCAGAACTCCATCAGTTGCTTTTGCCTTGGAACCTTTAGCACAGGGTAGTAGCGGGGCTGCTAGTGGTGTGTGCACACTTGCAGTGCATCGAGACATGCAACTGAGATATATGCATATAGTGGTATAATGCCTCCACACAGGTAAGAGAAACCTAAGGTCAGACTTCAGTTCTTCTGTCTCCTACTGCAGGGGCTTTCAGGGGTATGACTTTAGGTGGCTCCAAGACCTGGTGGCCCAGAGAGTCTCTTACCTCGGGATCAATACTCTCTTTTATCTTCCTCTTACTCTCCATGATATTCTGGAAGGTTCCTTGGATGGTATAGTCCATTACCAGGCAGAGAAACAGAGAAGAGATCTGTCAGAAGACAAAGCCCCTGAACCATCTGCCCAAAGAAAGCCTGGGCCTGGGGGTTGTGTAAGTCATCTTCCAATGGCCATCGTGTGGCAGCAATGGTAGCCCTGCCCAGTGGGGATCCCTCCCTCTCCTGCCCCCATTCTTATGCCATACCACACCATGCCTTGTTAGTTGGCCTTTCCTGAAAGCTGCAGTTGTTCCTGACCTCTGCACACACAGAACCCTTTGTGGAACTGCCCTTACCCCTCCATTGCAGGGTAGTTCCTCGCTTAAGACTCCGGGAGCTGCTCTGAGGATCCCATCCTGCTCAGGGCCCAGTATGTGGCCAGTGGCCAGCTGTTTACTCCTGAGGGTACATGTGGTGAGCGCCCTCCCTAGCCCTGAGTTGTCAGTTCAGCAGGGAAACTGATGTGGAGATGGGACGCAGTGAAGGCCCCTCAGTCCCCTCTGATGCCTCTGGAGGTGTGCTTTAGGAAAGGTCTACTCATTGCCAAGATAAGAGTTGTGTCGTCACAAGTCTGGAAAGCCCCACTCAGGATCCACTGTGAGGCACTGGGGTCTCAGACCCCATTGTGAAATGAGAACAGTGTTCCCACCCTGCTCTCCTACCTAGTCACTGTTCTGGAGCTATGGGAGTAAGGAGTCCACAGTTTTGGTACAATAGAGGAAAGGGGCAGAAGGGCAGCTTCCTAGTATCAGTCCCTTCCACAGAAACCAAAACTGTGCCATTAAAGATGCAGTCTGGAGCCTAGCACCTGACCTCCTACTTTAGTTGTCTTCTACCTGAAGCACCCAGAGGGGTAACTCTTGGTCTTAGCTTCCTGTTCTGTCAAATGGGCTGATAGGCCTCCTGTGATGAGGCTGTTAGGGGTCACTTGAGATCATGCACAGGCCCCAGACAATGCCTGCCTCTTAGAGTGCTCCATGCTGTCAGCTGCCAGGCTGTAGGTGCTGCAACCTACCTCGTTGTTCCACATGATGAACATCTCATGGTACAGAGAGATGTTGGGGTGCTGGAGCTTCAGCAGGGGCATAAGCTGTACAAAGAAGGAACAGAGTGTCTTAACCAGTACTGCTCTGCTACATATTCCAACCAAGAGATGGGCCATAAGATCTGGGTGGAGCATGATATGGGCGCAAGGAAGCCTTACAGCCTGCTGGAGAGAGGGTCTCCAGAATGGGGTGGGCATGCTGTGTGACCAAGACTTATTCTTCAACCTTTTTGAGCCTCACAAATACATATGAAAATGGTGAATGGTGACAGGCTGGGATGTAAGTTCAGGAAGAGAGCCCATCTCTAGCCCTGGATTTGATACCTAGCACAGCCTCCAACCACCAATGAACTGTTGCAGACCCAGAGGGGTGCCAGGGGAGGAGACAGCAGGACTGGGCTGGACAAAGTGCTGTGTCCAAAGTAACAGTGAGAAAAGCCCTTAGGAAACAAACCTAATCAATCAGGCAGCAGAAATGGGTTCCTGCACACTATGGACAGATAGACAATTGCTTTGCCTAGAAGCTGGGTGGGAAAGCACCAGGCCTGGCAGATATGAATGGTAATGGACAACATGTCAGTTGATGGTGGAACCTCCCATGCTTTCCCCATATGTCAAAATATGACTAGGTCTTTCTCTGCCCTGGTGATACTGTGCACTACACAAGAGATGTGGGCTGGCAATGTGCAGGTGCAGGCAACTCCAGAAGGAAACCAACCTGCAAGACCATCATGGAGGAGGAGACTCCTCTCACCTCAGGTGAGATTTCCAGAAAGGCCCAAAGAAACTGTTCATAGCCCCTGTCTATAAATCTGATAACTGCTGTCACTTGTGACTCTGGGAGGGCAGTTTACAGCCCATAGTCCTCCTCCCTCCCCTGTCGTTTTTCTCTCCTTTTCTTCCTTATTCCTTCTTCTTCTCTTCCTTTCCTGCTTCTTTCCTTCAGTTCTTCTATGCTGAGAATGAAATCCAGGGCTTTGCATATTTGAGGCTGGTGCTTTACCACAGAGTCACATCTCAGCCCTTGAGTCAGAACCTTACAATCAGCCCAGGCTGCCCTCAAACTCAACATCAATGCTAGGACTGTGGGTGTCCACTAACACACTCACTAACTGACTAGTTTTACATTTTCTTTGTAAACATTTTCTCTGTGTGTCTCCCAAGCTTTGTACTATTCTTTTATAACTAGAATGGAAAATAATTTCCAGTGCTGGGAATAGAACCCAGGGCTCTGAGCAATTGAGGCACATGCCCCACCACTGAACTAGAGCCCCAACCCTAAAGAAAAAAACATCTTCAGAAACTGAGATGGTTCCATGAGTAAAGGTACAAGGAGAGAACCAACTCCCCAAAACTGTTTTCTGAACTCCTCAAGTGTGCCTCGTGTCATGCATACACACATGTACATACACATTAAACAAATGCAAAGAAAACAAGAACTTTTTTTTTTCCCCAGACAGGGTTTCTTTGTGTAGCCTTGGTTGTCCTGTAACTAGCTCTGTAGAACAGGCTGGCCTCGAACTCAGAGATCAAACTCAGAAATCGGCATGTCGATGCCTCCTGAGTGCTGAGATTCAAGGCATGTGCCACCACCATCCAGCAAGAACATTTTTTAAAAAAGATAATTATTGGGGGTCCACAAGATGGCTCAGCAGGTTAAAGTGCTTACTTTGAAAACTTGATAATCAAGCCAGGTATGGTGGCACATGCCTTTAATCCCAGCACTCAGGAGGAAGCAGAGGCCAGCCTGGTCTACATGGTGAGTTCTAAGACAGCCAGAGCTACATAGTGAGATCCTGTCTCAAAAAAAGAAAAAGAAAAAAAAAAAAAAAAAAAAAAAAAAAGACAACATGATGATTTGAGTTCAACCCCCAGAACCCACATAAAGGCGGAAAACTGATTCTACAATGCTCTCCTTGGACCATGACACATAGCTGTACTATTTTTTTTTTTGTCCCCCTCCAACAATAATAATAAATAAATAAGTTAAAAAAAAGATGGTTAGTGGTAGAATAGCCATTAGGGGACAGTTATCCTAAGCACAGACTCTTTATGACCACTGCAGGCTTTCCCTTTCACCCTGTCACTCAGCAAGTGAGCACAAGACACAGTTCCTATGCTTGCAGAGTCCTGATCCTCTCAGGGGAACCTGATTATTACCTCCTCCAGGGCCTCATTGGCATGATGCTCATCGATGCACTCCACCTGTAGGGCAGAGGCCGACAAGCTCAATTAGTAAATGTGTAGTGAACAATGGCTGATACCATCACTGCTGTCATGATCACTATCACTGTCACTATCACAGTCATTACCTCTATCCCCTCACCTCCAATACCACCATCACCACCTCTACCATCACTCCAACCTCCATTATCACCAGTTCTACCACTCCTTCCTTACCCCACCATCATGTCAACTGCCACCTCCAACACTGGTTATCATCATGGCCACCATATATGGGTAACAGTAACATGTTTCATTGGGCATGTACTTAAAATCCCTGTACTTAGGAGGCAGAGGCAGACCTCTGTGAGCTTGAGGCCTCCGTGGCCTCATAAAAAACCTAGTTCAATCTTGCCTCAAAACCAAACTGAAAAAAAAAAAAGAAAGAAAGAAAGACTTATTCTAAAATAATGTAAAGAATAAATTGAACCAGCAGTACTGGGGACTGAGTTTAGCTCAGTGATGTAATACTGCACACTTTTAACCCCAGTACTCTGGAGGAAGGAGCATACAGATGGATCTCTGTGAGTTTGAGCCCAGCCTGGTCTACATGGTGAATTCCAGGACAGCCAATATAGGGAGGTCCTCAAGAAGAAAAAAAAAATTTTTTTTGAACCAGTGAAATCTTTTTCCTGAAGTCCTACTCTGTGGATTTTTTTCCCTCTAAGTAAGTCCTATATGCTCAGGAGGGGAAGAGCATAAAGATCTCTGAAGATGTTTATCACAGTTGTTTGTTTATACTGGGGAAACACAAAGCAAGCTAGAGCCATGTGAGGACAGGCTGGGCCAACCACCGCACCTGAAGCTACCCTAATCGGGAGGAGACACAGCTATCAAACTGGAGAGGAGGAAGGGGTGGTGACACGAGACTGTCAATATATGAGATGTTATCAGCCTCAGTACCATTTTTACAAGCATGTAAGAAGAGGCTCCTGCCTATAACCGCTCACCTGATTTTTATTTAGAAAAACCAGGTGGCTAGTTTTGCTTGCTGAGAAAAGATCATATGTGTAGCTCCAGCTGGCCTTGAACTTCAGCTCTACTAGTCTTCCTCCCAAATGCGGGGAGTATAGTAGTGTGCCATCATGCCCAGTGTGGCTAGATTTTTAAAAAGTCTTTTAATTGCTCACAAGACAAGCAGCCACTTTGGCCACTGGCCTATGAGGCAAGGCAGCTGACCCCACAGCTAATTAGCAGCCCCCTTGGAGGCCTGGCAGAATATGGTTAGTCCCCAATCGACAAGGTCCCTGTCACCATCCTAGAGGAAGGTCTACACAGCAGCCATTCCTCTCTAGGGTGCTCCTATGAGCCTTCACTCCCCCCCCCCCCCGCTGTACTAGTTTGTGACCTTTGCTCAGTCTCTGTGATCCTGTGTCGTCACCGCCCCCCCCCCAATAGGTAGTACTGTGCTAGCACTTATCAAATTCAAATCCTCTCAGAAACTGCAACCCTGGTGAGAATGGGACTCCTGAGTTTTACTATCTCTTGCTGTGGAATGGGGGCAGTTGTTGTGGGTTGGCATGGTTGTTGATGGGTCCAGTGAGACGAGAGCAGCATGCAGACAAGCATTGTGGTTAGTGGAGTAAAACTTAGTAGTTCTCCTCACCAAAGTGTTGGGGGTGGGGGGAGACAAAGAGGGAGCTCCAGGAAGCTTCATGGGTCCTGCTGGGAGTCTGCTAGAGCAAACATGGGATGGTGAGCCTGGGATTGGGAAAGCTGCTGTCACAGAACTGTATACCCCATGGCTCACAGGACTCTGTTCCTTACCTCTTTTATCACGTACTTGGTGTCAGTTTCCGTTTCCTTCACCACCAGGTTCACTCCTAAGGCCCCAGGACTGAGCACTTGCAAAATCTACCCTCGAGGAAGAGAGAGACTTTGAGGAAGTGCACACTGCTCTGTATTTCCCACATGAGCTGACTGCACATTGGGCCCCACAAAGCAAGCATCTTCTCTCAATTTTGCTGTGGAGGAAATGGCCTCAGGTGACCCAGAAGTCCTCCCTGGTGAAAGACAATACAATGCCTTTCAAAACCCATTCTGGAGTGCTTATTTTACACTCCAGACTTGAGGGGTAGCCTGCCAGTAAGAGCAAGCTGCCCTGAGACAAGGGGTTTAGTGGTTCTAAGCCACAGTGACACCACCACCTTCCAGCATTGTTCTCCAAAGAGAGCATCCCAACAAGGCCCTGTAATTGGTAACTGATCCTGTCACAGCCTCCCTCAGGGCTCAGCACTGGGGGAAGTACTGCGCAGCCATCCTCTGAGACATGCACTGGTGCTAGCTACCTACTACAATCGACATGAAGCCTAGGGAGCAAGGTCCTTGCCTACATGTAGCACTCTGGGGTCTGAGCCAGAGTTTGTGATGGAAGCCACACCCTCAGAGCTGGCCTGAGGGTGGCTGAGATCTCTGAGTACTGAGACAGTTATCAGGATGGGGGGAGGGAACAAGATACCTAGTCAGTACAGGAAGGATAGAGAGAATCCTGGAGTCCTTGGAGACCAGCTCAGGAGTGAGTCTATTCAGCCCTGCTGGTGGGCAATGGATCAGACCACAACATGAAAACTATATTATTATTTAATTTCTTTAAAAGTGTCTGGCCACTGAAAGTGCATCTGCTTGGCTAATTCATGTAAGCCTTCTCAGAGAATCCTGGAAAAGTGAGGAAAATTTAACCCACAAAAGTCAAGGTTTTATTAGCCGAGTCTAACATTTAATAAGGCCGACATGTCAGAAAAAAGCAGTTAAAAAAAAACAAAAAACTCCCATTCATCCCCGTAAGATTAGCAGCGTCCCCAATCAGCTGGAAGTAGCCTAAAAAAAAAAAAAAAAAAAAAAAAAAAAAAAAACTACACCCACATTCCACCAAAATGAATTATGGATGTTTGTCTTTCTTTAGCATGATGATTACAAGTTGATATGGATAATGGTTAAAAAAAAAGTTAAAGTAAGGGGAAAAAAACCAACAAAAAACAAAACACCCATTCAGGTTTTTTTGTTCCTAGTGTTCTGCCCCTAGACCCCAGGATACAGACACACAAGAGGGAAGGGCATAAGCACCATTCTCTAACCAAATGTGAAAATGGGGTGGGGGTGTCAGACTGGGGGTTAGTCATCATTTTAGAGAGGGAAACTGAGGCTCTGGGAGGCGAAGGGCTTGGAGAAAGGCACTTGCGGGATTACGGGATCAGACTGTGATGGAGGCTGGCCCTGATTTTGTGGCCCTTGGACTTGACCCCGCTGCCCACGAACCCTAAGCAGCACCTGATACTTTTCCATGGTATCTCGAGGAGATAGATACTCTGCCTCACTGTCTCTCTGCTGCGTACAGGAAAACAGTTCTTCGAGACAGGCCGGTAGTAGGACCCTCAACTGAGCATGCTCAGTAGTGACTACCTGTGTGCCGACCCAACCCCCTCAGGCCCACTATCTAACTTCGACGACACGGGACGTGTCTGCCTAGTCCTCTGGAACACGAACGGGGTCCGCGTACTCCACCCCTTAAAGGAGCCGCAGAGAACAGGATGCCACGGAGAGGACGGGTGGAGGGCGGGGCATGCACTGTGATGACAACGGTAGGAGGGGCCTCAAGCTCCACGGGCGGGAGCGTGGGTGGCAGGAAGTCTAGCGCGGTGGGTGGGGCCTGCTGTAGTAAGGTGGGCAGGGCTTTAGGTTCTAGAGGAGATAGGGCTGGGGGTGGCCGCAAAAGCCAGAAGGGGCGGGGCCTGGAGCTGAAGGGGCGGGGCACGTGCATGAAGGGCGTGCGTAGAGAGGCGGGGTCTTCTCCTGAAGGGCGGAGCGTCGGCGGGCGGCCCCTGGAGCGTGGCGGGCGGGGTCTGGAGCGTGAGGGCGCGCGGCAGGCGGGGCGGGGCGCGGCGGGCGGCGCGGCCCCTTTAAGGCTTGGCCTACGTGGCAGCCGCTAGAGCCGCCGCGGCGCAGCAAGGCCGCCCGCCGGGTACTTCCTGTGGAGGCCGCAGCAGGCGGGAGCGCCGAGGACCAGCCAGCTGAGCCCGCCGCCGCCGCCGCCGCCATGGGCCAGAACGACCTGATGGGCACGGCCGAGGACTTCGCCGACCAGGTGCGGCCTGCCCCACAGCCCTCCGGCCCTCGCGGCCCCACGGACGCTCGCCCTTACGGTTTTGCCTAGCTCCACGGAGAGATCCGCGGGCGTCTTGGGTGGGGGTCGGCCAGGAAGGCTCCCGGGGTCCGCGGTGCTGCGCTCTGCCCTCTGTCCTCTGAACCGCGGTAGCCCCTTGGGGACTTCTGGGGATGGGGATACCCTGTGTGCGCCCGGCTGCCCTCCGTCCGGGACCGTGCTGTGCTGCCCCTCCCTCTTCGCGGACTCTGCCCTGGTTGCCCGGCCTGGGTCCACGACGCCGGAGGAGAGGAGCCTGTCCCTCGGCTTTCCTTCCCTAGAGTACAGGTGGCGAGTGAACAACAGGGAAGGCCTGGGACGAGCCTGGGCCTGAGCGACTAGCCGGGCAGGATTAGAGTCTGAAAGAGGCGCAGGTGGCACCCACTTTTAAAAATTAAGTTCGACAGGAATGGGGTGGGAGTTGTGTAGGTGTGAGCCTTAGACTTCTGAAATTGCTCCGTTAGGTCTGAAAGTGATGATAATGGAGCCTAAACTAGCACCATAGGCTGAGTGGGGCCGAGTCCTCCCGATAGCCTGTTCTGGTTCACTTAGTGTATTCGTGGCTGTTGGTGATACGAGGAAGCATTTTGTGGCCTAGACTATTGGTAGGCTTGAGTGTGTGTGTGCGCTTCTTCAAGTGAGCTGTGAGTCAATTAAGCTTCTCTCTTTTTGAGGGGTAGAGAACATCTCTCATGCTCTCGTACGGTTATGTTGAACTACATTTCTGGGAGCTGGTTTTTTTTTTTTTAAAGTCATTTTCATCCCCTTTGAAAAAGTTTTTTTTTTTAAGATCATGATTTTGCATTAAAGATACAAGATTGTATTCATCACAAAGACACAAAAGTTCTCAAGGACCAAGGTCTTCCTCATGTGCCTCGTTTCATTGACATAATTGTCAGTGACCCAGTTTTATCTCCCCGAGTATCAGCACCCTAAGAAGATGGCTCTATAGCCAGGGGAAGTTTGTGAGCTGCTCACCTCACAATCTTCAGCTGGAAAACCCTCCATTTTGCAAGTGGATTTCACAACCTGACCCAGATAAAGTATCTCCAAGCAGCTGCCAACTATCGAATGATTAGAGTTCAACTAGAGGAAAAGTTCATCTGTTATGAAGCCCTCTATGCATTTTGTTTTGATTTAATCGAAAAAAGCCAAATTTTGGGACTGATTTTGTGGGGAACATGGTGTCTGCCTCCACCAAGTATTTGGTTTAGACTCTTGGACTTGGCAGTGGCCACCACCCAGGAAGAAACTCTGGGTCTCTTACTGCAAGCCTGTCCAGGGCAGCTTGTGTCCCAGGCCTGGAGTTACATTGCAGCTACACATCAGTGTGAAGATAGATGCCCATTCTGCAGAACCACAGAAGGTTCCTACTGGCAGGGATTAGCCTCAGAATCCACCTGGAAGATAGCAGAGGACACTGCCGTAGGAACGTCTGTGAGGCTGCTGGGAGATGTGACTCCTGCTTTTCAGGACCTGTGTCAAGGACCTGTGTCACCAGTGAGCAGGCAACAGGGAGCCTTCCTATGGCCTCAGTGTGACCAGTCCTGGGAGCTTTTGTGTTGAATATTCATCTGTAATATTGAGGATGGTGCTGATAGTCCAGCATTCTAAATAAAAAGATCTGATGGTTAGGAATTGGCTCTAAGGTGTTGTCACACACCCATGTTGTCTAATCTTGTCTTTAGAAAACAAAAGAAGAACTGACTTTGCAAAAACAGATTTGCCCAGAAAATCAGGCTTCTCATCTGAGTGGAAAAATGCTTTTGACAGTGATGGCAACACTGAGACATTAACTGGGTGTGCTTATCTTCCTGGGGGGGGGGTGGCCATCAAGGCTCCATTTCCCCGGACCACAGAAATTTGTCATGATTTGTACAGTCCTGGATTTGTTACCCAGCGGTCAGCATTGCCCCTGTGTTGGCAGAAAGTACTCAACCTTTCTTTTTAGTGTGGTGGAGGCTGGTCCCTGGAGGTCTACACTGTTGGAGCCCCGCTAGCAGCCTCCTATGAGCTACATCTCTGCCTTGGTTGGTATCCAGCTCAGCTCCTTGCCGTTGGTGGCCAGGGAAGGTATCTTCTTGCTCCCAGGAAGCCAGACCCTGAAGAAAGTGCTGAGATCCAGGAGGTAGGCCCTTAGAAGCCATCAGAAATCAGGTGGGAAAGCCTGGACTCAAAATCAGACCTGTGTCTTAAGGCTGCTGCTTGATTCAAGCTAGACAGATTGTAGTTTCCAAGTGAATTCACACCAGGAACATAGTGCTTAATGGATTCTGTCTGATGGCTGTTACCAGGGTTACAGGAAGGCTACAGGGGCCTTACCTTCCCATTGTGGACTTTGATGTGTTGACCTGTAGAGAGTGGTGTAACTAGACCAAGAGTGGGCCTTTGTTGAAGTAGTGCCATAGTGGGCCTGGTGAGGTTCCTTGCACCTCATGAACTCCTTGGCTTGTGATTCACACCATATGACCATCTGGCCTGGGTAGGGCCTGGTGTGTGTTGGGGGTTGGGAGTGTGTGTGAGCCTTTCCTTTTTCAGTGCTTTGTCTTATACTTCTGAGACCTTAAGTATTGGGGGAGCTGACTCGGCTCTGCTTGCTGGTCTTGACTGGAGGTTGAACAGTGCCCCCTTCTGGGCAAGTGAAGTAGAGATGTGGGAGACTGAGTCTTCTGTCTTTGACCCTCTTTTTTACTGCTCTAGTTTGTAGAAAAGAAAGGAAGTCTTGCAGTTCCTATGCCCATGGTGCATTGGATACCTATACATGGGGCTTGGGGATTCTAGAGTCCAGCAGAGACACCAAACTGTTGAGCTGACCTTGCCTGCCTGTTGCTGCTCTCAGCTCCTGAGCTTGTCGACCTTTTGAACAGGGTTCACCAGGCAGGCATCTAACCTGACGTTTCCTTAAAGTTCTCCCAGACTGAGGGCAGTAGCTGCCCTGGATTCATTTTGTCCCTAACACGAGGAAGTTGTTGGTTCTGTTCTTCGTGTTGGCAGCAGTACTCCCTGTGTGACCCTCACCTGTTTCCTGTGTCCTATCTAAGGACAGATAGGACTGTGTCCTAAATCCACTCAGTCTTCTCACATGGTAACCCCTGAGACAGACTTAACCTTCCTATTTTTGTTGTTAATTTTTGTTTTTGTCAAAGTGTATGAATGTTTGCCCAAGTGTATGTCTGTGTACCGCTTGTGTGCCTGATGCCCAAAGTGTCCATGAGAGGGCATTGCATCCCCAGAGAACTGGAGTCACAGATGGTTGAAAGCTACATGTGGATGCTGGAGCCAAACTTGGGTCCTCTGAGCTTTTCATTTCAAGCTGTTTCTCCAGCCCCTCTTCTCATTTCTTAATGCCCGTGAGCACATCCTGCTTGTTTGCAAAAGCTCATGAGAAGCCTGTTTGTCAAGGTGGGTTGATTTGCCTGCCTTTCTTCCCACAAGCTTTCCTCATCAGCATCCACCGCTGGCCTTTCCAGGCTTAGCAATGAGAACCATATATATGGAGTTTCTTTGCCCTTGGGTATTCATGACCAGTATGAGCTGGGACACTGGCAGTGGCCTGTAAGCACAGAGAGGATGTGGCTGTGGGAACACTTTGCAGCAGCATGATGTGAGCTAGGAACTGTGAACAGCATGCATGTGAAGGGTCTATCTTTGTTGTTAACACTTGGCTTTTCTCTGTGTTCAGATACGTATCAAAGGAGGGCTCATCTCACAGGCACTTATCTTTGGAGAGCAGAGCCCAGCAGATGTGCTTAGTTCAGCACATACTACCTGCAGTTCTGCACTTTTCTCCAGAAGCAAATCACTGCATCATTCTCCCAACCATGCTGGTGTGGAAGGGAGGTGTGACTTGTCCCTCCCTCCATTACTGTCTTCTACTCTTTAATCCTCTTGACCCAGACACTCCAATTAAGAGGAGCAGACTCTTCGGGACGTTTTAACTACATCTAGTGGATTGTGCTGGATAGTGTTTGTAGCAATTGAGTACCTGTGGTGAGGTTCTTGAGGGAGGAGCAGACTGCAGTAGGGCTGGGCTGGTTTGTTCACCCAATGGGTATAGCCCCATTGTAATTGTGTTGGGGAACAGTTCTCATTTGGAAGCAAGTCAGAACACCTCCAGTGTCTGTGGCTGCCTGAGAGTCCACACCCTCCTGTGGTCTGCACAGCCTCTGTTAGGTGCTT